TAGAAAGCAATTTTCATCCATCTCTGAATCAAACTGGTAAACGAGCTTTACAGCACATATATTTTCCACACTTCAACTTACATTAAACTTTCCCATCTCAAACTTCCATGTTACTAGTACTCATCCTTTGACTTCATTAGAAACTCAGAACTAAAATCGGTCACTGTGCTTAACCACGACAGGTTGCTACACCCCCTGCCCGTTCAAACAGCCCCCATCACTCACCTTGGGCGCACCATCCGTGATGCTCACTCCTTTCATGTTGGCGGTGTGAAACAGCTCCTTTGAGCGCCACAGCTGATATCTCCAGCTCAGAGGCGAATTATGCAATGTCACTGCATGCCTCTGGCTGGTTCTGAGAAACTGAATTCTATGGAGCTGACAACACGAGAAATTGTCAAAACGATTCTCCCAGCAGGCAGACTTTCTGGAGAGACAATAAGAGTAAAATGAAAGGACGAAGGTGGGGAGACGAGAAATCCAGGCCACACTCACGCCTCCAAAACCTGACGTCTCACTTCGTCTGTAAGTAGAGATTGTCACACATTTGCTATGTAAAACCACAGAAGAAGAAAAAAACCCCCACTCTTCTGCTTTATAGGATGAAGTTCCTACTTTGAAAAGCTCAGTGTATGAATGCAGAGCACTCTCGTCTCTCAAACACTGGGGAACAACACCCACCAAAGAGACCAAGCTCATTCCCCTGATTAGAGGCCATGAGGCCAAATTTCTGATAGTGGTCAGCATTTCTTCCTTCCTGCTCCCTAAAGCTTGCCCAGTGAGAGCAGGAAAAAACAAGTCAAGGGGAAGGCCTTAAAGGACCTAGTCCCACCATATCTTTACTGCTCAGGTGTAGACTTCTTGCTCTGACCTCTAGGCCCACCTCCTGGTCTTTGCTCACAACATTCAACAGTGAACATTTTCTGAGTGCTGACTCTGCACCAGGGCTATGCTGAGCACACATCAATACAATTATGATTATCTCTTAAATCTCACCGACTCACTGCCTGTACTTGAAACCATACCACCAGCTCACGCAGTTCAGCATGACTTGCCAAGTCTTTTTACTTTCCCTAAATTCAGACTCAACGTCCAGAGAGGACCTACAGGACAACAGACTCCCTGCTGAGCATGTGTGCATTTTGATTTCATTTAAACAAATTGGTACCCATCCTCCCGAGCCTGGCTCAAGTTCCATCTCCAAGAAGCTGTCTCTCTCGTCGCTCTCCTCCTGCGATGGCATCGCTTACTGTCTTGTCCGCTGGTCATCCCTTGTGTAGTTCCCCCAAGTCTGAGCCCCAGGAAGGATTTCCCGATGGAAATAGCTGACTGATTTCTGGCGGGGACAATACATATTTTAAATTGTTATCATTGTTGGAAGCCAACTTCTGGGGCCAAGTCACTGACATGTTGTGGTTGGGAGCAGATAAGAGGCAGGGAACAATGACCCCACCGAAAGAACACAAACTGACTTTGCAACAAGTTCAAAGTGGAGATCCATAGAGAGGAGGACAGAGATGGGAGAAGGGGGGAGTAATTTAGGGAAGGCTTCACCAGGAAGGCAAGATATGACAAGCGGGGGCGGATCAGTAGAGAGGCAGAGCTTAAACCTGGCTGCCACACCATGAACATGCCAAAAAAAGAAAAAAAAAAGAATGGAATTAACGAGTTCCATTTAAGGAAAATAAGCAGATTCACACGAAGGGCAATGAGTCATAAAGGCTGAGGTTCTGAATGACAGCCTGGACTAGCAGAAGTGTTTTATCCTGTTAGTTTTTCCAGAGAAGACAAATCGTGACAATGGCTCTACTGCAATGCGTATAGCTGGTGATATTTGTAGGGCAAAGGGCACTACAAAATGGCAGATGATTTCTGTGTTGTTAAACGTGAATCTGGACTTTCTTCTTGGGTGTGCCTCTTCACTCCTGCTTTCTTCGGGCTCTGCCAGTTCCTGTGTTGGTGGGCACGGGCCACATAGCATCTCAGATGAGGAAGATGCAAGCACTATTGAGCTAAGGCTGAGCTTCATATTTCCAGAGCGGGAATCTATGAAACCTAAATTTGATGCTTCCATACATATACTTAGGTGTAATGGCGTGATGATTGCGTTTTAAAAAGACAATCTCAGAGACATATACTGAAATATTTACAGATAAAATCTGAGATTTGCTTCAAAATTATTCAAGAAAGGGGAAAGTGGATAGAGGCACCGGTAAAAAGATTGGCCGTTTGTTGAAAATTTGGGAGTCTGAGTGATGGGTACATGAGGACTCATGGTACTGTTGACATTCAACTAAAAAAACCCACGTTTATTAAGATATAATTCACATATCACAAAATTCACCCTTTTAAAGAGTACATTCAGTGTTCAGTACAGTCACAGAGCTGTGCGACCATCACCACTATTTAGTGTCAGAACATCACCGCGAAAAGCAAGCCCATACCCATCAGCAGGCCCTCCGCGGGCCACTCTCCCCCAGGCCCCGGAAACCATTATTTCTCTTGTAATATTGACTTCTGTATATATTTGAGAAAAAGTAAAAAGGATGGAAAAATTTGCTCAAGGTCACATAGTGATGTGACAGAGACAGAATCTGAACCCAAGTTTCTTGGAAAAGAACAAAAGACTTCACGCCAACGCAAGTCTGGACCGTTCCCGTCACTTGCAAACTCCTGCCCGTGGCTCTGCCCAGGACGAGGGGTAGGCCTGAGGTCCCAATAAAGTGCACAATGCTGTTGTTTGGAAAAGCAATCCAAACCGAAAAACAAAACTAGGACACTGAAGTAATAGCATCTGGCCCTGAAACTAAACGGATCCACTCCTGCGTGGCCTCCTAGTGCAGTATTTTGTGAATGAGGGGCTTGACTTCTGTCTGGTATTTGATCCTGCTGTGCTCTTTCTGAATGAAAGGCCCTGCAATCCGCTCGTATTTACTAAAGGCAAATGAGTCTCTTACGTGTACAAATATTGCAAGAGTTGATTATTCTAGGAAATTGGGTGGCTTTCGTCATATCCTGCCGACTGCAGGTTGAGACAGCAGTTTAAGAGAAGCAAGTTAGGGAGAGTCTAATGAGGTAATTTTCCCCCTTCTCTTGACAAATATGTTCCTGAGAACAGTATTTTGGATTTTCAGAACCTAGTGAGTCTGATCCCTTCTACAGCCTTCTACAGCCCCTAATAAACGTGCAGACAGGCAGATTGCTTGTGTATATGGAACTGCTTTTTGTTATGCTTTTATACTGTTTTCATGTGGACGTCAGCGATCAAACTCCTTGAGGGGCAGCATTCAAACCCTGGGCGCTCAATACCTGACTTCTCAAAGGCCAGCCGAACAGCAGACTTAGAAGGTGCAAAACATGAAAGGCGTGGCAGGAAATTCTAGACAGCACTGCTTTAAAATCATCTGATTATCCGGTAGATTTTAATCTTTTGAAGATAACTCAAAAAGAGCTCTTACAGTCCAAGTAGAATTTCATAAATTGCCAACAAATTCATCTAAATACCCTAATGTGGGGATGATACAGGACTGGGGCGCTACAGCTACTGTAATTACTACTGCTGACTCAGTTTAACAGCCCGAATTTTGATCCCAAAGTTGAGAGGGAAAAGGAATCAGAGCAAGACTTGAAAAAAACGAAACGCTGTGGGTGTAGACGGGGCACAAAGCTGGAGCAAAGGGCTGAATGTTGACGGGAGAATGAGGAAAGTCAGGGCGGAACATGACGCACAGGCAAGCAGTCACTGGACGGCGAGCCGGCGGAAAGCGGAGTACAGTTGCCAAAAGGTGACTGAGAAACAGGCTTCAACGGATGTTTCTTGCTTCTGCTGGTTCTCGCCACCGTGGCTGTTCCGTCGTGTATTTGATAGTGAACCCATGGTTCTTAGAGCTTTACCTGGAGGATCAGCTGAGGCCTGGAGTTAAGACGTGCTCTTCCCGAGAGAAGCTGTGCTGGCTTGTCAGGCACTCATGGCCACTACCAACTGGAGTTGCTTTAAATTCTCAGCTTGCATCTCTCCAAGCCATGTAAGTAGTGTGAGTTATTCCAGTTTTGCTTGAGGAACAGCTTGGATGGGATTCTGAGGGAAGACCCTCCCCTCTGCCGGCCCCCGGACCCCTCCCCACAGACCTGAGCCTACACAGCCAGGCAGCTTTCTTCTCTCTTCTCCTGTAATAGGGTTTTGGTCACGTTCACTTGGGGTTGGGGGGGCGCACACCTTTTGGGTTCTGGGCTTTCTGGATCTTGATCAAAGTTGCCACCCTGTGAAGACTCAGAGCTCAGAAATCAGGCTACAAGGGATCGACAAACATCCTCAGTACAACCAGCGGCTCTGTCACCATCAGTCCTCTGGACTTGTGCTTCCTGGTTGTTTTTGCCTCTCGGAAATTCCCTCACTTTCTTGCTAGCTCAGCCATCTATCTAGAGATTACAAATAAATTCTATCCAGGTCTGTACTGAAAGGGCTCTCAGAGAATCTGCGCTTCTGTTTCTTCAGAAATGGAAGCCTCGCCTCTAAAACTAAATGCCTTCCTCCTGCCCCAAATCTCTTTATATCACGCAATGTTTTTTAAAAAAAGAGCTTTCCTGATTGAAGTGCATGTTGGGGCTGATTTTGATTAAGCTCCCTAATCACAGAGAAGGAAGCTGTAGCCGCAAGCAGAAATGACTCGCCTCACTACTCAACAAGTCAATAACAGAGCTGAGATTGGACTTGCCTCTCCCCCACCACCACCCTTCCTAAGGGAAACCAGTTTAAGGCAAAAGGCCATTTTCCCTGATCGAAAGAAATGGGATTACACTCAAGTCTTTAAATTCATAGAGTAGAATGAAGCTACAGAGCTAAAGGTGATTAAGTTACAAAAATCTAACTTCTAGCAAAAAGCACTAAAGAAACTGTGAAAAGTACCAGTCCAAAGTCATAACTGCTGTTTGAGAACTTCTGTTCAAATGTGGAAATATTCAAAGCAAGCTCCAAAAAAAAAAAAAGAACCAGCTTTAAATTACCATTATATACAAAAAGTTTATTTCAGAAATCACGTTATCTTTAAAAACTTACATAGAATTTATAAGTTCTTATCCTGACTGGATATTATTCACCATTTAAATGCCAGGGCGTCATGTGGTACATTAGTGATGTGTGGACACCAAGTCCATGTAATATTGCTGGTATTTACACCAGTTCAAAACATTAATGTGATTTTTAAGAGAAAAAAATAAAAATAAAAGAAGTCTATTTTGGAAACACACAAAAGTATCTTGATTTTGTAAAGGGACCCATTGCTGAGACTATTCCAAAAAACGGGAAAAAGTAGACATTATTTTGATTCATGCAGTTAAAAACACCCGATGGAACTTGTATCAGGAGTACAGTGTGATCATTCCACAGAACGACTTCTGTGCCAGACCAGAATAACACAGAAATGTTAAATCTCGGCTTGAAAGTTTCAAAGGTTGAGAGCAAAAAAAGGTCAGAAAAAGCAGCAGGGAGTTTTGGTTGGTAATTTTTTTGGTAGAATTGGTTATCCTTGTTCCTATTTAGTAGGTTTCTTTTAATCTTACCACAGCAGCACCCACAGATGGCCAAGTTTAAGTACTGGAGAACCAGGATACAAAATAAAAATAAATTTAAACTCGCTATGGATCAAAAAATTGGGCTCTTTGGAAATCTGCACTAAAACCCAGTGATTTAACACATTAAGAATGCTTAAAATGCTTTTATGGACCAAAGAGGTAAAATGATCCTCAAGGATGATGATTAAAGCAGAATTTATATGCAATAAACTTTAGAAGAATTTAAACTTCCTATAACATAAAACAATTATTTTAACTTTAATCTACTTAACACTTTTATCAAATAATCCCAGATTATATTTCTAGGCACTCCTACCCAGATTGTGAGCTATTCGTATTTGGGGATAAATATAAACCGAAGTTTATCTTTGTGACAAGAGTTCAGGGCTCTCCGGACCCAGCTAGAGCTGAGTCCAGAGAAAGAGTGTCACTTCTACAAAGTTTCAAGAAAAGGAAATCTCTTATCAGTTGGTTAATTGCAAAAAATCTTGAGAACACACTTGCTCTGTGCGTCCACGATGAGTAGTTACAGTTCATGCTGAAGGGAACGGAAAAATAAGATTTAAAATGACACAAGAACAAAGTTAACTGACGTTAATCATTTGTGAAGATAAGCAACACCTGAGAGGAGCAACGGGCTTGCCTAATTTTGATTAGATTGGATATATTTTCAATTATGCTTCCCATCAAATGGTAATCCTCTTACTAGAAATACATTTACCGAAGATAAGCACTGCAGGTAATGAAAGGACGATGCAGGCGACATGGTGAAAGATCCATCTCCTGTAAATCCTCAGGAAAAACCGGCCATTAATTTTATTGAAGTGAAAAATGTGTGACACTAAAGTTGCAGATCTGAGCTTTATTATCAGAATGATGTCCCTTTAGGAGAGAACCGATAAATTCTCTCAAATGGTTTTAATATGGCACAAACTCTTGATTCTCAGAGCTGCACGACTACTTATCTGCTAAAGTGTATTCTGAAAGGAAAAAACCAAAGACGCAGAATAGACACAGAAGTTGACAGAATAACCAGATGAGAATTCCTCGTGACAGACCCACTCGAGATCTAGAAAAGCACTTTAATACTCTATCCTTCTCCAAATGATCCAGAGTCAAGAGAAATGGCAAGTCCCGTATTTACAAAACCGATGAAAATCACACTGTAATAATCAGTGAATGCAGAACCACCACACAGATCTGCGTTTCCACTTTTTCCACCATGATTCTACATCAAGGTAAAAAAAGATTCTTTTGTACAAATCCGAGAAGGGTGTAGAGGTGGCAGCATGCCGCCAAAGCTGGCACAATGACTTACTACTGGAGCTGGTGAGGGGCACGGGGGAGGAGGAAAGGGGCCCTCGAGAAAAGAACCCTATTCAGTCCAGGTGGCTCTAGTCCGTGGTTGATCTCCGGTACCAAAACCGTGCCCTGAAGTCGTCGCTGCATGTCATGAAGCCGGGGTTCGTGGGCGAGTGCACGATGCAGCGCACAATGTTGTTGTGGCCCAGGGAGAGCAGGTTTCGGCGCTCGGCGGTCCGCGAGTCCCAGCAGCAGAGACTGATGGTCCTCTCATCAGGCAGCAGCACGTAGTCCTCCGTGTGGTTGAAGACAGCCTGCGTCCGGTGCACCTGCCGCCCGCTCAAGCCAGCACCTGCACAGAGACAGAGAGGTTAAGGGCCTGGACACCTGGCTAGCTCTCCAAGTTCAGGCCCTCTGACTGTTTTACTTTTGTTATTAACACTGTTGATGTAAAAACAGCATTTTAAAATTGAAGTAATACACAGTTATTGTGCAATTTTGGAAACTCTAAAAAAGTATGAAAATCACTCCTGGGCCTACCATCCAAGGCAACTCTGTTACCGTTCTGATGTACTTCCAGGCATAAAAACACCTTTTCAAAACAATACAAAACTGGGGGCCAGCCCGGTGGCGCAGTGGCTAAGTTTACACGTTCCGCTTTGGTGGCCCGGGATTTGCTGGTTCGCATTCCAGGTGCGGACACGGCACCACTAGCTGAGCCATGCTGAGGCAGGCGTCCCACATATAAAGTAGAGGAAGATGGGCACAGATGTTAGCTCAGGGCCAGTCTTCCTCAGCAAAAAAGAATAGGATTCGCAGCAGACGTTAGCTCAGGACTAATCCCGCCCCGCCCCCCACTCCCCCCTCAACAAACAAAACTAAAACGGATGCCACATTATATACACGTCTTGTCTATCAGTCTAAGCCAATTTTATGTTGGATACACTTTTCCATATTTGTCACCGGGCGCAGAGTATCCCATTGTCTGGAAACACCATTACTTATTTAGTAACTCTTTTCCTGCAAGGCATCTAGTTTGTATCCATCTAGTTTGAAAGTAATTCTGTGATAAACTCTCTTTGCACAGAACACATTATTTCTTTAGGATTAAATTCTTAGGAATAGAATTACTGGGATGTATGAACATCCGCTCTCCAAAAGGAAGCTTTATGCTTTTTTATGACCATGAAAAAAAACGTGTTTTACGTTTAAAGTACTATTTAAAGTATAAAAAATAAAAACTGCCTGATAATTTTACACCCAGAGTCAATATTTGGATGAATACCCTTTCCAAATATCTCTATGTGTTGTACACTCATTTGTAATTTATACACACCAGAGCATACATCATACAACGCTTTTATTCAACACTACGTAATGGAGAGCTCTAAAGAGGGAACACAACTTCATGGATAAAAAGACAAACTTTGGTGTCAGATCTGGATTCAACACTAATTAGTGATGTGACCTTGGACAAATAATACTTAACACCCCCAAGCCTTAATTTTTTCCCTCTGTTCCATGAGGATGTAATTGCAGCAGCTACCCACAGATTGTTAGGATTAAAATGAGGTATAATGCACATCCAGCTTTGCAGTGCAAGTGCTCAGCACATGTTACTATGAGTATTTTTATAGGCTGCATGCTGTTAAAGGATGCACAACCTAAATTAATTCCATGTTTCTTGGTGGACATTTATGCTGTCTCTAACTTTCCACTCCTCCAGATAATGCTGGCATGGACATCTTTCTATGTGTGTGTGTGCATGCTTGCCCAAGAATCTTTTTAGGTTGAATTTCTAACAGTGCACACAGTGGGTCAAAAATACATATATTTAAATTTTTGATATGACATCAAACTGCCCTTCAGAAATATTTTACCAATTAGCATTCTTAATAATAAAATGTGATTTCTTGAAATGTTTATCAATACTAGATATCAACCTTTTAAATTCCTAAAATCTGATGAGCACAAGAATCCTTCTATTTTCATTTCTTAGGTTTATAATGAGGCTGGTCATCCATCTTTCCTTGGGTTCACTGACCAATGTCTGACATATCTCTATTATACATGCTAGGAATATTTTTCCCCTAGCCCAGCATTTAAATTTCGTGTATAGTGTTTTAAATTACTTTTTAACGTCAAAATTTCTAATGTTTACTTGATAATTTTTCCTCTTCCTTATTTTAAAAGCCCTTTGAATTCTAACTAAACATTCAAACTGGAAACACAGATCTGAATGTGCTGACACAAGTAGTATTAATCTGTAAATGAGAAAAAAGGAAATTTGCATAAAAATTCAGTGTCATCTAATTTTAAAATTTAATTTAAATTTAAACCTCAATTCTCCACCAAAACCAACTACATACAACCATAAAACAACACAGGCGTTCATAAAGCAAAACAAATATACTAAATTCCTGTCAGCAGTCTGGTGTATACCCTTGTAGACATGTCACACTCAAGCAGTGGCTGTTACTTCTGAAGAGGGAGAAGGCATTCCCACTTTTACTTTGATGACTTCTGTGTCTTCTTTTTGCAACAAGCACAGTCCTTTAATAGTAGTAATTAGAGATATTTTTCAAAATAGCTTCATACAAAAGTAAGCGTTTCAACAAAGTCTCCAAGAATTATGATGAAAGAGAACTCTTTCCAAACTTGCCAGTTTTACCATCTACACGGGAAGCCAGAGCGGTGGCAGGAGCCAACTTTGGTTATAATGAGAGAAATCTAAGGAAGGTTATGCTGCACCCTAGTGGTTCAGATGTCACCAACCCTTCAGTTTTCTTTAAATTGCTCACTTAATAACACCACAGGAAAGCCCCTTAAAACAATGTCATTTTCTTGTGAGTTTTGAAGTTATGGTCATGGTGGTTTCAGTGTATGACACAAACATCTCACAACAGAGGAAACTAGCTGAGGGCTCCTGGAGGTGTTCTACCAAACACCAGCCTTTGCTGCTACAGGGACAGAAGAATGAGACACAATATTTAAACAACATTCACTACCAAAAAACTAGACTTGAACACTGACCACCAGTGATAGGATAAATTTAAATAGATCTTATCATAAAAAGAGCTCACAGGCCTAACTGCTACCAATTAGAGACCAACATGAATTACTGAGAGACTCTGCTGAACGTAAGTCTGGTTTTCTGTCTGAAGGGCTCACTTTATTTTTTTTTATTTTTTATTTTTTTTAAAGATTTTATTTTTTCCTTTTCCTCCCCAAAGCCCCCCCGTACATAGTTGTATATTCTTTGTTGTGGGTCTTTCTAGTTGTGGCATGTGGGACGCTGCCCCAGCGTGGTCCGACGAGCAGTGCCATGTCCGCGCCCAGGATCCGAACCAATGAAACACTGGGCCGCCTGCAGCGGAGCGCGCGAACTTAACCACTCGGCCACGGGGCCAGCCCCTGAAGGGCTCACTTTATATCCAGGTTCAGAGCACTGTGGTCTCATCTGGGGCCACCTCTGTGCGCTCAGGTTTGGGCCAAGACCTTCCCTCTCAGTCCCTCTTTCCTTACTGCGTACGCTTACTGAGATCCACTCACTGAGGCTTTTCTCTGGACGCTTTCACTTTTTTGTGGCAAAAGGGCAGGCCATTGGTCTACAAACGGACCACCGGGTTCTCAAATGTTACTTACACGGAATCAGATCTAGTTAAAGCTGTGATGTATCGAGAAGAGCAAAGTTAAGAAACTGTAGTTCTGTTTCCAGCCCTGCCTCTTACTAAACGTAGCTTTGGCTAAACTATTTAACCTTTAAGCCTTGGTTTCCTCTTATCTAAAAGATGGATAACATTTGCCTTGCTCAACGCATAGATTTATTGTGTGGATCTATTGGGAAGATCTAAGAGAGAGTTTCTGGAAACTGTAAAATGCTACAGAAATGTAAGCAACAGCAATTTCTCACTCACCTGTGTACCGGACCAGCGTGCGTCCTGTTGAAATTTCCCAAAGTTTAGCTACAGAGTCTTTTCCACTTGAGAGAATGTATTTAGAATTTTTGGAAAAAATGGCAGAACAGACTTCAGCACCGTCATGTGCTTTCTCAAAAGTTGTGATGCATCGATTTGAAACACCGTCCCATAATTTGATGCAGCCGTCCTTGCTACCAGTTACATACATATTGGCACTAGGATTGTAATTAACAGAACATATAGCATCGGTGTGTTGATCTTGAGGATTACAAGAGACAAAACATTGAAATGTGTTGATATCATAAAGCCGAAGAGTAGGATGCTGAGTCCCAACAAGTATAAAGTCTCCAGAAGGATGAAAAGAAATGGAGCGTAACATTTCAGCTTCCTGTTAGGACAGAGACATTAACATTAAGTGACCAACGGGTGAACAATTAAAACCAGAGGAACTGCAGAAAATATTTAGCTGATGCAAAAAATCCATAAACCAATGATCAGATATTATACAGGCATGAGAAGGAACAAAGAACTTTTTGGAATAGATCAATGTATCATTCGAACAAAGATTTCCAAATCTCTCCAAATAGTGTCCCCAAAGGGACTCAGAAGCCCCTTTAATGGTGAGATTATTGCAAAAACCATAAAAGTGAACATTACTTGCAAATGAACACTGGGTGAACTCAAAACGGAATAGTATCAATCTATGATACATTTACACATGATTAATGAAGGAAGATAAACACAACTTGTACATAAGAATACCTTCTTTAATTTGTCTCAGGACTTCAAATATTGAATAAAAAATTAAGTTAAATTATTAAAAGGTGGAAGCCACTACTAAAACATTAGTATTTCTGAACTGCATATTCAAAATAGGGTACATCAAACGTCACTTTTCTAGTCAACACCTGATAGTTTCAACTGACTAATTTTTTGATTCCCATAAGTTGTACTTTAGTGAAGTTGGCTGTATTTTGTCTTCAAACAGGAATCAGCAACCTTTAAAGAGTGATATGGATTCTGAACCCTTGTCACATGAACTGTGACCAGCAGTATCCCTGACCAGCCAGAGGAAGTGGGTGCGTGATGCATGTGAACCACATGCCAATAGAAATGGATCTAGGTGCTATCTGCAGCGTGCATCCTTGCTGCTGTACTCGTTTTAGAGGATGATCATGGAAACCACTTTTAAAAGGAGAACAGTCATACAATATCTCGTATCTGAGGAAAAAAAACGTAAAGCTCCTTTCCAAACATTCCTAACCTGAATGTATTTGAAGGCTCTTTTTGCAGATGGTTTGGAATAATCAAATAATTTAAGAGTATAATCCCTTGAACCAGAGGCAAGGATCTGTTCTGTTGGATGGAAAGCAAGACACGTGACTTCATCCACATGGTCATAAAGAGTTCGAATCACTGGGTGGTTTTCCATATTCTGTTGTGCAGTCTCATTCATCATGACCTAGACCAACAAGAAAAGAAGAGATGCTCAAAGTGTAAAATCAGTTTGACTGAAAGCACACAAGCTACAACTATGCCAACTTAAAGCTGTTTAAACTATTCTCTCATTCTGCCAAGAATGAGCAACAAAAGGCAAACAGGAAGTTACTGGGTTTTTTACCTCTATGGGCATGGCGCTTTTGGCCAACATTCTTTCTGTGTCAAGTATCTTTATGGAAGCATCAGCAGATCCAGTAGCTATTAACTGTCCATCTCTACTATAGGTAGCTACCCGGCAGGGTCCTTTATGGGATGTGACATAGCATGTTTCATACTCTGAAGCCTCTGGGGACATAGTCTGGACATCTGCATCAAATTCCAGGTCAATTCCTGTGCCAGGGGCAACTGTATCTGAACGACCAATTGCATACTGAACTGCAGTATCATCATTTTCCATTCCTGAAAGGAGTAAAAATTAAGGGCATAAAAAAATGTTATTTTCAAAGGCCAAGACAAAGTTTTGGATCCAAATTGGGAAAGATGTTTGCCAATGTTCACTTACTATTTCTTGGTGCTGCATGACTCTTAATATTGTGAAAAAATTATGTACAATGGTCTGGGCGCATGCACAGTGATAACACTGTAAGGCAATATGGGTTTGTGGAAGTTAGGCTCCAACAGGTCAAGTCAACTCCTCTGATTTTTGCCTCTAAAATCTTCTACTTTAACCACAACTACAGAAACTCAATAAAAATCAGTTCTGTAGTTAAACTGTCCATTTTTTCCCATTCTAGATTTTAATATTTACAGTCTGAGATCTGTGAGTAGCAGCTCTGAAGCTCATTCAGTCAGATACGTTGTTAGCATTAACACTAGTGAAACATATTTGGAAGAATGTTATTTATATCGACTCAAGTTTATCAAGAACATGCATTTTAAATTTAATTTTATATATCATATAAAAATGTTTATTAGTGTAAGAAAAATACAGATGAAAAATAAACATGTCCTCATATTATATCACCCAGAGATTATTACTGTTACCATAGTGGTATGAATTCTTCTGGACCTTTCTCCATGCATACAGTTGTTTCACTTCTTAATAGAAATAGAAAAACGAAACCACACTATACAACATGTTGTAACTTACTTGTTCAATTATACGCAGTAAACATTTGGCCAGCATAATAAATGTTCACCTACATCATGTTGTTGGATCCAATTTTATGGATATAAGAACATTTATAGGGGCTGGGCCTGTGGCTGAGTGGTTAAGTTCCCACGCTCCGCTTCAGCATCCCGGGCTTTCACCGGTTCGGATCCTGGGTGAGGACATGGCACTGTTCATCAGGCCATGCTGAGGCAGCATCCCACATATCCCAACTATCCCACATATCCCACATATCATAACTAGAATATACAACTATGTACTGGGGGATTTGGGGAAGAAAAAGCAGGGAAAAAAAAAGATTGGCAACAGTTGTTAGCTCAGGTGCCAATCTTTTAAAAAAAAAAAAAAAAGGAACATTTATAACCAATTCCCTATTGTTGGGCATTTCAGTTATATTCATTTTATTTCCTCAGGACAAATTCCCACAAGTGGCATTGCCAAGTCCAAGGGTACAAACGTGTTTGGTAATTCTGTATTTTATCGAGTGCTTTCTGTGACCCAGGCAAGCTCGAGGATATACTGCTGAGCAAGACAAGGTCCTGCTCTTTATTGAGCTTGCAGACTTCTTTGGGGGAGGTGTGGACTGTGTGAGAAACAACCCAAAACAGTAAAGGAAATTTCAGACACTGATTCTGTTATGAAGGAAATGGCACTGTTGTCTTAGAGTAACTGCAGAGTTACAGGGAAGACAGTAGGGTTATCTCAGAGGTGAAGAGGACTCTGAGATGACATCTGAGCTGAGACTTGAAGGTCAATAATACAATAACAGCAAGCTTCAGATAATTTGTATAAGGATCCTGAGGCGAGAACCGGCTGGAAATCTTTATAATCTGGACATTGCTTACTCCTTCAGTATCTAGATACTGTACTTGATACCTACTAAACACAAAACTAAACAGAAATAATTTCGAAAAATTCAGCTCTGTGAAAACATCCAAAACCTTGCCATGGGATCAATGACTTTACATTCCCAAGCTACCTAGTTTGATGAGATGCAGGAGCTGCTCCGAGGGCGCACAGACAGACTGAGGCTTGATCTCATTGATGAGGCCGTTAGCAATGCTGATGTAGCCGTCGTAGAGCAGCTGGCTAATGATCAGCTTGTAGAGCTGCTGGCGGTCCCTCAGGCCCACTTTAGTCCTGTACATCTTGAAGCCGTGGAAGACAATTTCCCTGCAGCTGCAAGAGGAAACAAGTGGATGGTGAAGGGCAGAGGCACTGAACCACAGAAGCAACACAGGAATCTGGCCAGACTTGCAGGCTTAAATCCCAGCTCTCCCAGCTGCATTACCTTTGGTCAGTGACCTCGCTTCTCTAAGATCAAACTCCTCAGCTGTTAAATAAGTTAGTGAAGGTTAAACAAGATGGTGCATTGAGCATAGTGGCACAAAGAAATAATTCAAATCATGTTAGCTGATATTTACAGAATGTCTCTTCAACTTTTCCTCAATGTCAAACTACCCACCTGCAATTTTTATTCTTTATTGCTATCCCAGAATCTTCCATTTCTTCTGTTAATAAAACACTGACTGGTGTTTGCAATAGGTAAGACAGCTGCTATTGTCAATGTCTAGACACCAGCTGAGCTGTATGTTTACTAATACCAGTTATGTTCTTTTCTTTTTTCTTTCTTTTTTTTTTTTTGCTGAAGAAGATTTGCCCTGAGCTAACATCTGTGTCAATCTTCCTCTATTTTGTATGTGGGTCATGGCCACAGCATTGCTGCTGACGAGTGGCATAGGTCCAAACAGGAACGGAATCTGCAAACCTGGGCTACTGAAGCAGAGCATGCTGAACTTAACCGCTAGGCCATGGGGCCAGCCCCAGTTATGTTCATTCTTAAAACATGTTTTAATGCAACTGAACTTGTTAAATTATATAATTGAGTTAGATAGTAAACCAAAATATAAGGGCAAAAAAGGTATTGTCCTATGAAAACAACGAAGCTGAATGCTTTGAAAGATTGAAACGTGACTTGCTTAATAAAATATTGGCAAGTAGGATATGGCCAAGAAAATTATAAAAAAAATGGAAAAAATCTGAAGGATGATGCACTTAGACTGATTTACAAGTATCTAGGTTCTCCCTCAGTCTTAGAGTGAAACAGAAAACTGTATATAACGGTTTTGGGTTTATGCAAAAAAAAAAAAAAAAGGACAGGAATTGGTGGATATTAGAAAATTTGACTATCAAAAATTAATGTCTGTATGTGCACATTTGGACAAATTAACAGAAACTGCAGGAGCCTGGGGACAGTAGTAAAGAATAAAAGTTGCAGACAGGTAGTTGTGGCAGAGAAGAAAACTGAAAGGCAGAGCACAGGAGAGAGGAATACAAGCAAGAGGCGGCATGAGCGAGGGAGCGGCCACACCAGCACCTCCTGGCACTGCCGTACTTTACAGGGGCGACTCTGGGAGGTGGCGACGTGGCGGTGTTAGAGGAAGAGGTAGGGATCTATGTTTTCTTTTTACACAACTCCTTCTGGAGAATTACTGAGGCTATTGATCCTAAGAACAGCTGACATTTACTGAGTGCTTATCATATTTTATCTCACTTAATCCTCGACACCACCTTATAAAGGAGGTCCTGTAATCTTTTTACAGACGAGGAGGGGAAATACCTTGCCCGTGGTCCCACAACTAGTGCCTGGAGGAACCAGGGCTAGAACACAGGAGCTTCGACTCTGCAGACCGCACTGTGCCTAACCACTACCTGAGGTGCTCCTCAAAAACTGAAAACTAGCTGAAGTTTATCAGACGTTCCGTACAGTATCTAACATATATCGTGTAAGCAACTAATATACATTACCTCATTCAATCCTTATCTAATCCTATTTTAGAGATGGGCAACCTGAGGCCAGGGAGGTTAACTCACTCAGGATCAAACAGCTTGCAAACGGCAGAGCCTGAATCCTAACCCAGGCTATTTGACCCCAGCCTTCGTTCTTATTGCGCCGTACTGATGAGTGTTAACAACAACTATCAGTAATTAAGCACTTGCCAGACACGGTGCTAAGCACTTTTTAAGCAGTAGCTCACTGAATAAAATCATTACATGTGTTTAAGTACATGTGGAAGCAAAGGTACATAAATCTATGCTTGTAGACAATACTAGGACACGAGATGATGAAACCGGCTCACAGAGGTTAGGAAACCCAGTGAAGGTAAAAGGTGGCTAACTCGCCTAGGGTTAAAGTGGCCGCCGAGACTGCCCACGCCAGAGCCCAGAACTTAAACACTATTCCATCCTGTCTCTTCACCCATGCCAGGAGCATCATGGGGCGTACAACGGGATAAAGAAAAGACAAGACGAGCCCCACTTCTCAACTCCCGTAGAACGCTCGCTCGCTGGGCTGGTAAGCGCCTAATTAGCGTCCCCAAATTGCAGGTGAGGTCGCCGAGGCCCGAGGACAGGAAGAACCCGACCCAGGGCTGCTGTTTCCGGAGCTGGAAGGGGGACCAGGACGAGAACACAGGCACCCCTCACCGCACGCTCCGCTACCACCCCGGCGCAGGGGCGAACTAGGGAAGGAGGGAGGGAGCGAGGCCTTTGAAGAAGAGGAGGGGTACAGGCCCAGCCAGGCGACTCGGGGCGAAGGCCACCTCGCTCCCTATCGACCTTTCCCGCCTCGCCCCTCCTTCCTGTGGCCCCCGAAGAGCCTCAGCCCACCGCGCCCGCCACCCCGCTGCCCCCCGCATCCCGGGCCCCCGGTACCCGCTAATCCAGCTCTCCTGGTCTCCCGCTCTCTCCTAGAAAAATGGAGGCGCGAATCCTGCGCGATCGAGCGCACGTTCACTGCGCACGCGCACAGGACAAGGCGCCGAGCGCTGCGCTATCGATCGGCACCACTCTCCCCTGCTCTTCTCTCCATCTTACCAACGCCTTCGAGAGGTTTGTTCACCTCCTCTCACTTTATCTTTTACGCGACAACTCTGACGCCAAGGGGCTGCTGTCTTACCAGCAAATATCAGATCCCGGACAGCACGAAGGGCGGTAGCACGGCCACGGGTTTAGCGGGCCGTTGGCTCCACCACTTCCGGGGCCTTACGGGGCAAGGGCGCCTGCGCGCCGTCTCTGCCCCCGCCGTGACTCAATCGCCGAGTTGGCTCTGAACCAATCAAAAGGCAGCGCCTCTCCAGCTCAGGCCAATCAGCTTTGGGGTCAGAGGGTTTAACTCCTATTTAAAATGAAGGCTTTGAATCTTAACGGCTGAGCTCTCGGGAGGATTTGGCGGCTTTCGGTCGGAGGCAGGAGCTGACCGGTGCGTAGACCCTGGGGCAGCTCTGTAAGGCGGGCGGGCCCGGGCGGCCGGGCCGGCGAGGGAAGGGTCGGGGAGAGAAGGTCCCCCTCGGTCCCCCTCCTCCCCGGGTCCCCCTCCTCATCCCCGTCCCCTTCATGCTCCGCGTTCCCCACCTCTGCTTTCCCGGCGCCCTCCCGTCTGCCCCTGGGCACTGAGGCTCCCTGAAGATGCCGCCTGGTGTTTACTGGACATCTGGAGTGGATGGCGTTGTTGGGGGTGGGGGGCGACGGGTGTGCTGTCTGATGGGACTCTAGTATTCGGGGAGCATCTGGGAAGAAGAAACACATACAGGTCTTTGCTGTCTTGGGGTTTACGTCCTACTGGGGGTGGGGAGACAGATCGAACTAGCAAGATGACTTCCAGCAGTGGGGAGCGTCACGGGAGATGTGCAACAGTCATGTGGTTTACTAGGGGTCACTGTGGTCGAAGAGCTGGGAAAGGCCCTCGTCCTGGCTGGCTGGATGAGTGGGTGGATAAATAACCTCCGCAAAGAGGCCTTTCTGGGCCGGTGCTCCTCAAACCGAAGGCCTGGACCACCTGTGTATCGGGATTACCGGGGAGTCCTTGTTAAAAATGTAGACCCACCTAATGAATCCGAAGCGTTTGGGCGTAGGACTCAGGTGTCTGTATATTTATCAAGCTCTCCAGGTGATTCTGATGTTTCATTGAGAGCTAGTGATCCAGACCGGCGCATGCTGGTCAACTGCGGGTGTTGTTAAAATGCAGGATCTGATTTGTTAGGTCTGGGGTTGGGCCTGAAAGTCTCCATTTCTAACAAACGTCGTCCTGTTGTAGATGTAGCTAATGCCCTTGACTTTTAATGTTCCCTCCTCCTCCGCAGGCTTCCTTGTTCTTTGAATTAACCGCTTTTCAGCAACATGCTCATTTCCTCTCCACTCTCCATCTATGCAGACAGTAGCAGGTTTGACATGGAAGGAAAGGTCTAAACCCGCGGTGCCAGTAAAGCTCACGGTTTTCCCATTTAGAGTAGTAGGATCTGATTTGAAGGGTAGGGATCTTTCGAAGGTGTGACTCCTGCACCTGGCTGTAGACCAGAATCACCAGCAGTCTTCCTGGGGCTCTCTCCAGAATTTCTGGATCAGAATCTTATTTCAGTCTGCTTATTATTATTCATCTCCCTGAGAAGGAAAAGTATATTAAATTGGAGCACGTCTGTAGCTTCCATAGCAGACTGTTGAATAACTGTCCTCAGGCCCCTGTTATCTCGTTCCTCTGCTGCCTGTCATTCTTAGGGAAAGTGAAGAAAGCGTAGGAGTGTGTGTGAAATTGTTTGCATAACACAAGCATATATTTCCTTTTCCTTTTTGTCTGTTTCTACTAACCCATTGCTTAATATAAGGACCCAGGCTGTTTAGCTGTGATTCCATCTTCAAAGTGGAGTTATTTGCTTATTCGTGAAATGAATGGGTAAGAAAAATACAGAAAGGTTTCTGCTTCCTTAGAGTTTATGTTCTACTTACTGGATAGGTGGTTGTACGTGAATCACAGTATGGGCTTACTAAGTGTCGCAAACTATTTTTATTATTGATTTGCTTTGTTTGTTTGTTTGGTTCTTTTGATGAGGAATATTGGCCCAGAGCTAACATCTGTGTCAGTCTTCCTCTATCTTGTATGTGGGATGCTGCCACAGCATGGCTTGATAAGCCATGTATAGGTCTGCCCCCGGGATCTGAATGTATGAACCGTGGGGCGCTGAAGTGGAGTGCACGAACTTAACCACTGTGCTACCGGGCCAGCTCCATGATTTGCTTTGTTAATGGAGTAATTCATTCCCACAACATTGGCGTACATACTGTGTGCCAGGCATGTTCTGGAGAAGCAACCGTGAACAAAATGGGACTAAGCCCTTGCTCTCATGGAGATTGCTTTCTTTGGAGATACTGAGCAGGTAGCCAGATGTCTGACTCCGGGGAGAGAGACAGTAAATAATGTTATGTAAGATGTTAAGTAAGGGGTATGAAGAAAAATAAAAGAGAGATGGTCTGAAAGAGGACATCTGAGCAGAAAGCAAGCCACACTTGTATTAGGGGAAGAGCCTAATAGGTAGAGGGAACAGGAAGTACAAAGGGCCTGTGGCAGGGATTTCATTAAGGAAGAAAGGAGCCCTAAATGCCTGGTATGCAATAGACAAGAAGAGAAGATGAGATCAGAAAGATGGTCAAGATCCACATTCTTTGAGACTTTATAGCCCTGTCTATGCAAGTAGGATTTTGAATTTGAGTTGAGGAACTAATGAGGGGCTCCTGAACCAAGGACCAACATATCTGACTTGTTAATGGGATCACTGGGCACAGTGTTGTGAATGGACCAGAATGGGGCAATGGTGGAAGCAAGGTGACTTTTGGGAGCCTGTTTCAAATAACCGAGGGGAGAGAATTGTGGTTTGACCAGGTGAGAGTGAAGGTCATGAGCAGTGGCTTTTGGAGGTGGGGCCTACAAGATATGCTGATGGATTAGATACGGAATTTGAGGGGAACCGTGTAAAAGATGATACCAAGACTTTTGACCTGAGCAACTGGCACGATTTGCCATCAGCTGAAGTGGGGACTTCTGTGAGAACAGGTTTGGGGGGTTGTGGGAGGGAGCAGGACTTCAGCTGGGGACATGTTAAAATCGAGATCCCTCTCTCATTACCAGGTGGAGATGTTGTGTAGGTGCTAGGAGTTCACGGGGAAGGTCTGAGCTGGGATGGAAATTTGGGGTCCTCAGCCTCTGGGTGGTATTGAAAGCCAGGAGACTGGATGAGCTCACCTAGGGAGTGAGTGTAGCTGGAAAAGAAAAGTGGTCTGGGCCTGAGCTCAGGGTGCTCCTGTGAGCAGAGGGGATAAGAAGTGTGGAGGTGAGGAGAGGTTTCCTCTGGATGTGTCAGGATTGAGATGCCTGGCAGACCTTTCTTGGGGATCCTGAGCAGATAATTAGATAACAGAATCTGGCAGTCGGAGGAGAGGTTAGGGCAGAAGATGCAAATTCCCGTTATCTCAGTAAAGGTGTTCGGAGCCCTAGTGCTGTAGCCCTGGTGCTGCACCCTAGGAAGGGTGTAGATGGGGAAGCGGAGAGTCCAAGGACTGGTTCCTGGGTCACCCCAGATACTCAGACAAGTGAAAATCAGGTTGATTCAGCAAAGGAGTTTGCGATGGGACAGCTGGTGAGGTGGGAGGCAACTCTTCAAGGTAAGTGAAGAAAGGAGTGGAAAAACTGTGATGGAGCTTGTCAAATGCTGCTGAGAACTACTGACCTTTGCATTTGGCGACAGTGGGAGTCAGACATGAGCCTGCTCCTGCCCTGCCCCCAGCCCCCCTGGGAACACAAGCCCTGTGGGAGTGGGCTTGAGGGAGGGTGAGAGAAGTCGTAGAGATGACGAGTGTGGATGTCTGTTCCAGAGCTTTGCTGTTAAAAGGAGAGGCGAGAGATGTGGCCATCGTTTGAGTCAGTTATGGGGTGAAAAGACCTTTTTAAAAATTTTTAAAGGCAGCAGGTATTGAAACATGCTTTTATACACTGAAGGAAGTGATCCATTAGAGAGGAGATGATGGAGCAGAAGGACGAGTCAGTTGAGGGTGAAATTGGAGTAAAGTGGAGGGGGAAGGGTTGGGGATGCAGTATAAGAGGGGAGAGTTTGGTCTTCTGGGAAAGGCCCCCTGCCTGTACATTATTTGTATCACATGACAAAACATTGCTCCCTTAGCTTTATTTGGACAAAGAAAAAGTGTAAAATTCCGTTGTGGTGTTGAGGCTTTTTGCATCAGGAGCTATAAGCTTGATCTAGTATAACAACACTTTTTTTTTTTTTTTAAATATGACCACAGGACATTGTCACCAGCAAGAACTTTTTTTTTTAAGATTGGCACCTGAGCTAACAACTGTTGCCAATCTTTTTTTTTTTTCCCTCCTTTTTTCTCCCCAAATCCCCCCAGTACACAGCTATATATTCTAGTTGTGGGTTCTTCTTTAATTGTGGCATGTGGGACTCTGCCTCAACGTGGCCCGATGAGCGGTGCCATGTCCGCGCCCAGGATCTGAACCCGAGAAACCCTGGGCTGCCAGAGCAGAGTGTGTGAACTTAACCACTCGGCCATGGGGCTGGCCCCAGTAACAACACTTTGAAGCAAGTGGATTTGTATAAATTAAAGGTTCTTTTTTCTTTTCAGGCATCATGGACAGATCTAAAGAAAACTGCATTTCAGGGCCTGTTAAGGTAAATTGAATAATCTGTAATCTCAATCACATTTATAAAAGCCAAGTGGAGATTGGTCTCATATCTGGAATTCTTTTCCCTTTTACTTTGGATTGTAACTTTAGATTCCTCTGCTCTATTCCTGGATATGAGTTAATCACTTTTCTCAGCATTCAGTAACATTTTGTTGATTCTCTCACCATAACTTTTATTTTGTTGTGCTTTGTTTTATAATTAGCTGTTTAAGTATCTGTATTCCTCCACTGTATGCAGGATGATAATTTAGTACACAATAGGCACCCAATACGTGCCTGTGCTTTCTTGCTTGCCAGAAATTGATTTCTTTGCCATAGTTTGTTCTGGTCATGATTTAGGGGATGATAAACTCAGAGGAGTGTCAAGCTGCCCTTTAATGAACCTTTCCTAGGAACCCACTTTGAGCCAGGTTCTGTGTCAGATGTAGGGGCTACAGTGGTGAAGAGCACCTATTTTTGACTTTGAAGAGCTTACAGCCCTTTTGGGGAGGTGTGTGAGCCAATACTATGCCTTACAATATGTATGTAGGGCCTGAGTAATTCCGAGGAGAGCTGCTCAATTCCGATTGGGATAGGCTGGAATCCAGGAAGCTTTAGCAGGGCAAGACCCCTGGCTCTTAGCTTTTAATAAATGTGAAGCAACTGGGTGAATGAGTCTCTTATATAAAGATCCTTTCATATAACTAATCTCCAGATTTTTTTCCTTCTAGGAAATCAACATAATATAAATATTGCTTCATTTTTGCTGGGGAGACGGGCTTGGTTTTAGATTCTTCTTCTTCAAATAAATGGATAATTATCCTGTGTTTCTGGCTGAAAATATAAAATGACCAATTTAGAAAAAGGCTAACTTGAGTCACTATATTTGATTCTCAATTCCTATGCTAAAGGTCATTTTAAAAAATTGCTCTATATTTAAAATGTTTCTTTGTTACTGCCTGAATGCCTACTGTGTTGTGGATGCTGCTAATTTCAGAGGTAATTGTCTTTTTACTTTGAAGTTGGAAACCTTCTCTTGTAAAGCTCTCATACCAGCGAGCTGGTGCTGGCCTCTGGGGCTTCCCTTCCCAGTGCTGCTTTCTAACGTATGAGGACATTTGGTCTGTTGAAGCTGGAGGAAGTCTCCCCTCCTCTACCCCCCATTTTAGTTTGATTAGCTCAGAGTCTTCGAATTAACTATTTTTAAGCTTGTGATAACCCACTTACAGGCATGTAAATCATAATTTTGGTAATAACTTTTTGAAGAACCCAAGTTTGTTTCCTCTTTGCCAAAGTTTTTTTTGGCTCAGATCCATTTTGTAAGCACTTGGAAAAGGAAACATTAGTAAATTAGTAATGAGCTTTTTTGGGAAAATCTGGCAAATGCAAAAATTCAGACTGTCCTCCCAAACTTCTTTACTCAAAGATAAACACTTGAACATCGTGTTGTATTTCTTTCAGTCTTTTTTTAAAATATGTATTGTCAAAGAAATTTCAGTGGAATTGGGATTTTGGCATAAAGTTTCTTTACTGCAGCTTTTTGCTAAGTAATAGTTCCCAAGTCATTGAGAATTCTTAGTGCTTAATGTCTCCCTCTTTAGACGGAAGTTTAGTTAATGAACATTTGTTTATGGGAGCATGATTTTTAGGGGGGGTGTTGGGGATGGGGTAGGAGGTATCATTTAGGTATTTTTTTTTCCCCATATACTAACCATATTCTCCTGAAGCGCTGATTAAAACAGCTTTCCCCTTCCATCTCTTATCAGGGAAATTCATTATTTTGCTATACTAGGAGACAAACTTCGTGAAATTCTCAAAATATTCAGCTTTTGTTTGTAAAGACCATGAAGTTTCTTTTATTTTTCCCTCCCAACCTAGACTACAGTTCCACTTGGTGATGGTCCAAAGCGTGTTCCGGTGACTCAGCAGTTACCTCAGAATCTGTTATCTGCAAATAGTGGCCAGGCTCAGCGGGTCTTGTGTCCTTCAAATTCCTCCCACCGAGTTCCTTCGCAAGCGCAGAAGCTTGTCTCCAGCCATAAACCAGTTCAGAACCTGAAGCAGAAGCAATCGCAGGCCACCAGTGTCCCTCACCCTGTCCCCAGGCCACTGAATAATACCCAAAGGAGTGAGCAGCTGCAGCCGTCAGCCCCTGGTAAAGCAGCTTGTCGAATCTCATTGGATAATCATTCTTTTTAGTTGCTAAACAAAAGCCACTGTGTAGACTTGTGTTTCTTGTTGGGAGCCCTAGTCTTTACATCATTTCTGTTGAGGGTGGGGAGAAAATCTGATGTCAGATTGAAGTCACAGTGTCTCCTGTGGGCCAGGCCTGTGCTAAGAATACAGGCCTGATTCCAACCCCAAAAGTACATTTGAGGAACTGAAAAGTTTTAAGGTTCGGAGCACAGAGGGAAATCAGGGGGGAGTGGACGGACTGAGGCAGGCTGGGCGAGGTCACTGCTGGCCGTGTTGAGGAGTGGGGCTTCATCCCCTGTGTATTGGGAAGTTGTTGAAAGGTTTTTGAGGGACTGACTTGCCTTTTAGAAAGCTTCCTCTGGATGTGTGGAATGAGGTGGGGAGTAGCAGTGCTGGACCCAGGGGTACCCGATAGGGAGGCCGCTGGGGTTTAGGTCGAAGATGGCAGTGGCCTGCTCGGTGGAGCAGGGTGGATGTTGTAGTTATTATCTACCGGCTATTGGGTGCTCACACACAGCAGGCTCTGAGATAAGTGCTTCCTTCATCCGCGTTGTCTCAGTCAATCCTCGTAACCTCTCTATGAAGTGGTCAGAGTTATTAACTCAGTTTTATGGAGGAGGAAGCTGAGACTCAGAAGCATTAACTTATCCAAAGACATAGCCAGGATGGAGAGGTGTAGACAAACTTGAGCATTCACCTAGGATGCAGACTGGGATGGAACTGGGCGATAAACTGGACATTGGGATGGTGCTTATTTGGATGGCTTTAACTGAGAGAGTGAACCAGGGAGGGCAAACCCGGTTTGGGCTTGCGTTCAAGTATCGAGCAGAGCATACTGTGCTACTGCTGGAGTTTGAAGGGCTGGAGACGTAAGTGGAAATGTCCTAGATCGTCTCTGGATAACAAAATAGTGACTTTAGCACCCTGTTGTACAGCTGGTTGGTTGTACATTCTGCTGAGTTGGTGGCTTCTATTTTTACATTTCCCCTGGGAAAGTAATATCGTGGAAGGAAGGTGGCTGGCTTTGTCGCACATTGTTGATGATTTGTATGTAGCGTATGGCAGTTGGCTGACCCGCCCAGAGGGGAAGAGGTGATGAGGTGGGAGCTTGTCAGGGACGGGAAGATTGGTAATTCTGCCTTAGAAGCTCTGCATTTGGAACCCGAGGGTCCAGGGAGAAGCTGCATAGTCTTGAGTCTTTAAATTATCGGAGGGCCTAACTCTATATATACGTATCTGCTCGTTTTTACTCTAGACATCTGTAAAGATTTCCTTCACCTGGTGGGAGTCAGATTAGGGTGTGGTAGTCTTTTTTTTTCCTATAAAGAAAACAAAAATAGCCCAGGTTTACCATTCTGCACATACCATTGACATGGTGACTATTCTTTGATTCATCTCTATTCACGATTTTTAACATAGTCTGTATAGTTATTCAAACATAACTATAGTTATTCTCAAACAGGTTTTTAACTTATCTTATATAGGAAATAATTCTGAAAAGGAACTGGCATCAAAAGAGAAAAACGAAGAATCAAAAAAGTAAGTTTTATCTTATTTACAAAGTTAGGTGCTATCATTCCATTAGAATGACACCATTTGATTGCAGATTTAATTATGGGAACTCTTTAAAAAATAAAAAGGTCTTTATTTGCATTTAGGAAATATACATGTTTCCAAAGTTCTAATCTTAAAAAAAGAAGGAATTTTAATGATTGATGTTTATTAGAGACTCAGATTTTTTTTCTATTGCTTTTCAAATTTAGAAAAAGTTTGTATGAGGGGCTGGCCCGGTGGCCGAGTGGTTAAGTTCGCGTGCTCCGCTGCAGGCAGCCCAGTGTTTCGTTGGTTTGAATCCTGGGCACGGACATGGCACTGCTCATCAAACCATGCTGAGGCAGCGTCCCACATGCCACAACTAGAAGGACCCACAACGAAGAATATACAACTATGTACCAAGGGGCTTTGGGGAGAAAAAGGAAAAAAAATTAAATCTTTAAAAAAAAAAAGAAAAAGTTTGTATGAAAACCTTGTTACAGAAATATGTAAAAGTTCCCCTCTACCCTCAGAAGCAACTACTACATATGGTTTATGTAGGTTTCTATACTTTTTTCTATTAGACAAAAGTGCAAGCTTGTTTAAAAACAAGATGTGGTCATGTTGCACAACTCTATACACCTATGTGACTGTATGAGTAATTTGACAGTATTAATAGAATTATTATTTATAATAAATCTTGGCTATAATATCTTCCCCAGATATTTTCTAAAAGCCTGCTGTTGGACTCTGAACTGTCTAGACTCTAGAACATAGGAGGAGGAGCCAGGAATGAACCCACAGACTTTCTGCTTTAGCTGCCTAATGGAGGACTTTCTGAGAATCTAAGTCCAACGGTTCTCACCCCAACTGCCCTGTGGGATCCATCCCACTTGCTTTGCCAGAGTGGTTCTCCACCCCAGAGTGTTAGCATCTCAGGATGGAGGAGGTGGCGGCTGTGGTTAGCTGGCAGGAGGCCAGCAGAGGGTTCTGAAGCATTCCTCCCTCTCCAGTGACTTGTCTAGTCCTTTCTATGGTCTTCAGTGTTGTGAATAGGTTTGTTCTCTTGAGTGAGTCCTACTGCCATGGGACACATTTTGTTGAGTGCTTCAGCTCTAAAAGTCCAGATTTTCCTTGTCACTTGATTCATACAGCCAATAGCAGGTGGGGGAGTGAGGGTTTAAGGTCTGTGGCGACTCATTAACTGTGGTTATTAGCTTGGTTCTTGCAGTGGTACATACCGAATACAACTTTGAATATAAAATTATTCATAGGGTGTGCCTGCTACTCATTACATACTGTTAGAAAAGATTAGTTTTCTTCACATTTTAAAATGTTTGAATTCTTTCCTAGAAGGCAGTGGGCTTTGGAAGATTTTGAAATTGGTCGTCCGCTGGGTAAAGGGAAGTTCGGTAATGTTTATTTGGCGAGAGAAAAACAAAGCAAGTTTATCCTGGCTCTTAAAGTGTTATTTAAAGCTCAACTAGAGAAAGCAGGAGTTGAGCATCAGCTGAGAAGAGAAGTAGAAATACAGTCCCACCTTAGGTAAGTTTTCAGTTCCATACGCAAAAGAATGGTGTACAGAACTTAATTATTAAACAATTTTAAACTTTTTGGGTCTCCTTCATAGTACTGCAACAAGTTATTAAATTTGTCATTTTTCAAAAATTTATCTAGACTTAAGTGCTGTGGTCCTGAAAAATTACTTGAAGGGTCATGTTTTGTTAATGGAGTAATTGATGTGGGCACATTTCTTTTTGGTGGCTAATTAAGGGGAATGATACCTCTTCTTCTGAGCTCTAAGCAGAGGTTGCAAACTGGCAGGCTTCAGGTTGACTTTAGCCAGTGGGTGTTTTTCTTTTTTTTTTTCTTTTCAGTGTTTTTTCAAACTTGAATCAGTTGCTAAATCCTTAAATATCTGCGTGTATCTGCCCTGTTTTCATACCTGGCTGGAGTTGAGAAGGGCTGCTGTCTTAGGCTGTGCTCCCGGCGGCCTGGAGTCCTCTGCAGCCCACATCTGCTGCCGTTCTGAGCACTGAGTTTGCACTGTCTGTCTCAGCGTTTGGCTATCAAACTGTCGTGGGAATGCCACGTATCTCTCTCTTTTTATTTGCGGAGAATTAATATTTAGTTGAATCTTTTCAACTAAAAATAAAGAATAAAGATGGCCTAAGGAGGGAAATAATAGTCCTGACTAAACCTGAGGTCCATTAATACCTTGAAATGCATGTAAACTGATATGTGGCTATGTGTATTTTCCTTAGAGTGGGTCTAGAGTTTCAGATTCTCAAGTGGGGTGGGGCCGGGGGGAGTCTGTGACTAGAACAGATTTTTACCACTGGTTTCACGTGAGGGGTTTGTTTGGTATTTAGTACGTACTCTTGTATCAGCTCCAAAACCAGGTGTTAAGAGTGTGCATCCTTTGTTGCAGGCATCCAAACATTCTCAGACTGTATGGTTATTTTCATGATGCCACCAGAGTTTACCTGATTCTAGAGTATGCACCTCTTGGAGCTGTCTATAGAGAACTTCAGAAACTGTCAAAGTTTGACGAGCAGAGAACTGCTACTGTAAGTTTTCATTTATTGTCCAGACTGATGCTGTTTCCTCTGTCCCCGTCCTACACAGCAGTGTACCTTTCACTGCAGCAGAGTGGGTTTTGTCTTATGGAAAGATAGCTTAATAGGATCAAATATTTGAAATGGAAAAATCAAAATGGCTTGGTTGTACCATATGTACAGATAAAATCAGGTACTTTGTGGCTGGTTTGTTTCCACAGTTGTTGTTCTGTGGAAATGTATATAAATAGTTGCCCTCTTTTTTTTTTAATAATTTATTTGAGGATAGTTTGATTTACAGAATAATCATGAAGATAGTACAGATCTATTTTCTTCTATTAATAATACACACTTAATTCCTCCTATTAACATCTTACGTTAATGTGGTACACTTTCTCATAACTAATGACACTATTGATACATAACTATTAACTGAAGTCCATACTTTATTCAGATTTCCTTAGTTTTTCTCATGATAGACTAGGGTCATGGTTTTTGAGAGGAAGACCACAGAGGTAACAATGGTTGATGAATATAGACTCATGAATATTTTATACTTTGAGTTATAATCCAATACTGCTTTATTTTCTTGCTCAAATTCTTCCAGCTTTGGCCACTGGGAGCTCTTTCACATAGTTCCTGTGTTTTTTGACATTGTGGGTGTCTGGTAGGTTTTTTTTTTTTCTTTTTTTTCTTTTTTTTTTTTTTTAGCACTTCCTTGCTTTCTAGTACAGGACACTCCAGCCTCATCTTGTTTATTACCTATCCCAGGCCTAGAATCAGCCATTTCTCCAAGGAGCCCTGGCTCCTTTTATTGGAAAATGTTATTAGAAACCAAGATCTGGGTGCTAGATGTGCTCATTGCTACTAGAGTGTCATTACTTCTAGGCTCTCAACTGATGGAGGGAGCAAGGAAATATGTGTGTATACTAATCTGTGTATGTGCATGTATCTATAGATCTTTCCATATTTATCCATCTCTATCTATATGAAGCAAAACATGAGTCCATTACCACGTGGATCATTCTCCCCTCCTCCTCTTGCTTATCTGTGACCTCCCACTCCAACCCTGAGAAACCTGGATTCCACCATCCATTTATTCAATTCCAGTGGACCTGTACAGTGATAGCAGAATTGTCAACCAGTTACCCCTGTGGGAAACAACTATATGCATTTAATGTTCATCCATATATTTTGAGGACTTGATAGCTCATTTCTTTTTATTGCTGAATAATACTCCACTGTATGGATGTACCTGTTTATCCCCTCACCTACTGAAGGGCATCTTGGTTGCTTCCAGTTTTGGGGATTATGAATAAAGCTGCTAGAAACATGTGCACGCAGGGTTTTGTGGAGCATGACCTTTCAAGTCTGTTGGTTAAACACCTAGGGGTGTGATTGCTGGCTTGTATGATAAAATTACATTTAGTTTTGTAAGAAACTGTTACAGCTGTCTCCCAAAGTGGATGCGCCGTCTTCGCATTCCCTCCAATGAGGGACAGTTTCTGTTGCTCCGCATCCTCACCAGCGATTATTATTGTCAGGTTTTTTGGATTTTAGTCATTCTCATAGTCATATAATGGTATCTCATTGTTTTAATTTGCAATTCTCCAGTGACATCCGAGGTTGAGCATCTTTTCATGTGCGTATTTGCCATCTCTATGTGATCTCTAAGGTGTCTGTTCAGATCCTTTGCCCATTTGTTTTTTTGGTTGTTTTATTGTTGACTTTTTTTTTTAAAGATTGGCACCTGGGCTAACAACTGTTGCCAATCTTTTTTTTTTTTTCCTGCTTTATCTCCCCAAACCCCCCCTGTACACAGTTGTATATCTTAGTTGCAGGTCCTTCAGTTGTGGGATGTGGGACGCCGCCTCAACGTGGCCTCATGAGTGGTGCCATGTCCGAGCCCAGGATCCGAACCCTGGACCGCCACAGCCGAGCGCGCAAACTTAACCACTCGGCCACGGAGCCGTCCCCTTTTATTGTTGACTTTTAAGAGTTCTTGTATATTTTATATACGAGTCCTTTATCACACATGTGTTTCATGTTTTCTCTCAGTCTGTGGCTTCTTTTTTCATTCTCTTACTGTGTCTTTCACAGGGCAGAAGTTTTTAAAGTCCAACGTAGTCAAGTTTTTGTTTTGGGGTTTTTTTGTTTTGTTTTTGCATGGATTGTGCTTCTTCTTTGTAATGTGAATGAAATTACTTGTTTGAAGATGTTGAAGAGTCTTAATTTGGGCTGTTTGTTATTGAATTGGCAGATGATGGGCCTGTTGCATGGTGGTTACTTTGATTTGTTTTGTTTCTTGGTGGAAATCTCTGGGTAGTATGTAGTATGTACACTAATTTTCTTTTTGGTATTGACTTAAAGGGTATTAAATTCAGGTGCATTTGCTTCTGCTATCTGATGGAATCATAGCACTATTGGCTAATGAGCCTCTGGTCTTGTCTCTGCAATGAGGACACATGGTATTTTAAACTTAAATGTTTGCCCCTTGGATAAGTAGAAATAGATCTATTTCGTTTGCATTTTAAAATATTAGCTAACCAAGTTAGTTTCTTATTTGGCAATTAACATTTATACTACTTCTCAGTTTTCTTCCATCCAGATGGAATTAATTTTGGTGTAAGCAGATAGCTGTTTGAAGGAAATAAGATTGGTTCTTTCTAGATTCCTTAGTAGTTATAATGAATATATAGACACACACCTATTTTCTTTTTCTGATTAATTCAAATAAAACTAATTGTAGAGCCATGTTAGGGACTTATGCACATATCCACATTCTAATGGGGGAGTGTGGAGGAAGTCGGTGCCAGAGAACTCTGATTTAACTAGTAGCTTCTTGTCTTGATTTGAGCAGAGAAAACCTCTGGTCCTCTGGAATTCTAATGTAGGCTCTAAAAGCATCATCAGCTCAAATTTGGCAAGGGCATCTCTGCCTTCATTTTGTTTATTATGGTCTAAATTTTGGTGTCTGGCTTTTGGCTGAAAAAAAATGAAAAATGTCCTTTCTGACAATAACATTTGGTTTCCACCCATTTGTTCAGTAAATCTTTTTGGTGTAGAATAATATTCAGTTCTGTCTAGCATTACTTTGGAGAACAAACCCTTCTCAAACTTTAGTCAGAGCTAAATAAATTATTTCAGTATACTGATAATTCTTATCTATACGTGAAAGCAAATTCTGGCCTTGCTTGCTAGATCTTTCTTTACTTGAGATGGAAAGAAAACTAACAAAAGGACTGACTTGCTGTGTGCTTTTAAGCTGACTAGTGAATTAGGATACCCAAAATTTAACATGCTATTTAATGTGCCAGGACACCTCCTGTTAGTTTCTGTCTATTGTTCAGGATTACTTTCCTTGATACTCTTAGAGTAAATTTTTAGCGTCAAAGAAATCCTTGTGTTGTAAATTGACCTTGATTTTAAAAATAGGAATTGACTGTACTTGAAAGGTTTTTTAAAAATTGTTTTTTTGTTTTAAATTGTTTATATATCTGACTCCCTAATTTGTACCAGTTTTCCAGTATTGTCTTTATTCATTGCTGCTGGGCCATAAATCGCCGCATGGGGATGTACTCACAGCTTATCCGTATGTTTCCTGTCCTTTCGTAGCATGTCTGTGCTATTAGCAAATCAGAAACTGAGCGCTGAATACTCGTACTTCATGCTAAACCCAATATGTAAACTGTTTCTATTGATTTTTGTAGTCATCCATTGTTTTTAGTTTTTGCTTTAAAACCTGAAAAACATGTTAATTTATGTTGTTTCCTTGCAAAAGATCTATCTAAAATTATTATATGAAATCTAAAACAGATTTTTAATATTTTTTTATTAGTATATCACAGAATTGGCAAATGCACTGGCTTACTGTCACTCAAAGAGAGTTATTCACAGAGACATTAAGCCGGAGAACCTGCTCCTTGGATCAGCTGGAGAGCTTAAGATTGCCGATTTTGGGTGGTCAGTGCATGCCCCGTCCTCCAGGTATGTAACGCTAGAGGTGGCTTGTTTGGTTTAGCAAAAGCCCGGGGGGCTAATGATGAGCTAAATAGTAAAATACTTAAGCCTAGATGTTGTGCATTGGGACAGTTGACTGACACACATACTTTGGAGCAATTTAGGCCTGATAGTAAATTAGTGTCTTCAAGACCATTTTATTCTGCAACCATTTTGGACTATTTGTCACCTCCTAGGGGTTAAAGATGCTTAATGTCCTTGGAGGCTAATCAAGGGGAAAGATAGTAAACAGATAGGACAAGTATATGACAGAGGTGAAGTGCACGTGGAGGGGGGAGTAATTCCTGACATAATGCTGGGTGGAGACTCCACTGCTTCCTGGACCAGGAGAAGTTTCAGAGGACAGCACGTGCAAAGATCTAGAGCTGAGAGCACATGCGCGGTCTTTTAAAAACTGGTTGTCTGTCACTAGCGGGAGCTGTTGGCACCTGGTGAGGCAAACAACAACGAAGAATGTAGGCTTCATGGGATCACAGGGCTAAACTGGACTTTAACCTGTCCAGTGCTGTCACCATGGTAGGAAAGAAAGCGTATCCTTTTCTGAAAAGGATGTTCATGTACATGGTGAAGGTCACTTTGCCCCGCTTCCCAGACATGAATAAGCACAGGCACTCCTAGGTTAGTGGTGCCATCGTTTGAGAACCCCCTGGTGCAGTGTGCCTCACTCCTCTCAGTGACGAGGGCCGAGATTTCTGGAGGGGTGGCTCCACACTCCCAGGCACCATTCAGTTGAGCACTGACCCAGCACGAGCTCCTACGGCAGGGAATAAATAACTGAGAGAAAGTGGCAAAAACCTACACGGCCTCTGCTCCTGGTCTGATGTCGGCCCCCCGCCCCCCCGCTTATTCCAACCTCTGTTATAAAACCTCAAACATACAGAAACACTGAACTGGTGGTTGATAACACACCCGTCTGGCAGGTGCCTACATTCCGCAGTTACCACTTTGCCACATTGGCCTACTTTTTTGCTGAACCTTCTAAAATAAGTTGCGGACATCATGATGCTTCATCATTCAGCACTTCAGTATGCATCTCCTAGAAATAAGGACACTGTCCTACATAATCACGACCATTATCACGCCCAAGGAAATTAACAGCCTTGTTAAGATCACTATTTAGTCCAAGTTCAGATTTCCCCAGTCCTCTACAAAATTTTATAGTTTTTAAAAATCAGAACCCAACCAAGGTCCATGCATTGTATTTGACTGTGTATCTTTTGTCTAAATCTAGATGAGTTCTCCCCACAGTTGTAAATGGAGTTTTCTGATTTGTGCTGTCACTTAACTTGGTCCTTCATCCTATCTTTGCTGAAAACTAGAAGTTAGGTCTAAGTGCCTGAAGAATATTTTTGGCAAGAATACTTACAGGCCATCCCTAAAATTTCAGTATCTCTTATGTACCAATGATGCATCAGAAGGCACCATGCATCTCTAACCCCAAACCTAGTGCTTTCACAATGGACAGTCTTTAGTTCCTTGTCATCAACGTCACCTGGCTCTTAAACTTCTTAGCATATCTGTAATAAAAAACAAACATAGAACTCCAAATTGTATTTACAGGGAACTTTGCATGGCTGCTTTTATATAGTAGTGATCCTTTAAGTTTCTTACATTTTAGATCATTTAAGGTGGTTCTGGAGTGGACAAATTTGGGGTTCAGATTGGTTGCTTGCTATGTGATCTTGTGTATCTCCCTTTGTTTCCTATTTAAAAATGGGGATTTATAAAAGTACCTGCTTCGTCGCACAGGATGCGGCCTAGGAAAAGCGCTCAGTCAGTGTTAGCAGAACTTACTGATTTTCACCAGCTGTTGGGATAATAAAACAGAAGCACATCAGGCTGAGTCTGCCTCCGTTTTTAGGAGAACCACCCTCTGTGGCACGCTGGACTACCTCCCCCCCGAGATGATCGAAGGCCGCATGCATGATGAGAAGGTTGATCTCTGGAGCCTTGGCGTTCTCTGCTATGAATTTTTAGTTGGGAAGCCTCCTTTTGAGGCAAGCACATACCAAGAGACCTACAAAAGAATATCACGGGTAAGACATACCTAGAAAGGACCCGTCACTTCTGTTAGAATGTTCTTATCAGCCTTAACTTTAGGCTACGATCTGAATATTTACCCTCTTCCCTCTAAACGACGTTTTGTGACCGTCTGTCACTTATCGTACTCCAGGTTGAATTCACGTTCCCTGACTTTGTACCAGAGGGAGCCAGGGACCTCATTTCAAGACTGCTGAAGCATAATCCCAGCCAAAGGCCGACTCTAAAAGAAGTCCTGGAACACCCCTGGATCACAGCAAATTCATCCAAACCATCCAATAGCCAAAAAAGCAAAGAATCAACTAGCAAACAACCTTAAGACTCTCGCAGGGGGAGAAGTCCTGGAGCCAGGGCTGCTGTACGATCTGTCAGGAACAGGCTACCGACAGTAACTTACTCTTGACTGCCTGCCTGTAATCGAGAGTGCCAGAGAAAATGCTGGGTTTTGTTTTGTTTTTTACTGAGCAGGCAGTGCCTTGGCCTCCCCCTTCAGAAAACTCCACTTCAGTAAACATGACACTCTGAGTGAAAATAGCCACGAGAATCGTACTACCTTCACTGGTTTCATAATCTGGAGGCAAAGTTCAGCTGCACCGCCCCACGGCTATTTTGGATAAGGCGTCCTTGTGGAAGGCGACTTTGGAGTCCCGTTGTGGGGAAATGCTGCTTTGCCCTGACCTGATCAGTTAAAGAGCCGTGCAATAACCTCCCAAGTGCTGAGTGTGTGTGTAACTTATTGGGTGGCCAAGCCTGGCAAAGCTGTCAGAATGAGTATGTGATTTGTTCTTTTAAATGTTAAAAATAAAGATTTTGTATAGACTTATATTTTTATTTCCATGCATCCCTTTAGAAATGCTCTAGTGTCCAACACCCCTGTTAAACCTGCTTATCTAGACCTCACCCGCCTCCCTCCTATCTGAGACTTTGTAAAATAGGAACACGTGCCCCACCTCCATCTCGGGATTTGCTGGGGACACAGATGAGACATGTCTCAGAGCTGTTTCTAAATGTTAAAGGCTCATTTTTTATTACAGTGGAGTTATAGCATGTGTGTAAAGTTTAAATATAAGTACATACATAACATCTGAAGTATATTCTTCCCATCATCTGTTCATCAACCACAGATATGGTGAACTTGACAATGAAGGAAAAGGTGGAAGTGTTGAACTTACTGAGAAATATGCTTTCATGGCTGACTTTGAATCTAAGAGTCGAGATATCAGCTGTGTTTCTAAGTGGCAACCTAAACTTCCAGGTCAAAGTTGACAAAGTATCACAGAAACTTCAAAACCAAGTAAAACTGCAGGGTCCAGTTAGCCTCCTGGAGACAGAGGAAGTGCTGCTTCCCAGAGTCTCGAGCTGACCAACTTTTACACTCCGAAAGTCACGTTTCCTGTAGCATCCACCCCAGCTATGATTAACTTCACCACTTTGTCGTTTCCCCAAACCCACTCAAGCGAAGAGAACAGCTCATTGTAGGAGCACAACATTAATAAACTGGTCACACAGTGCAGCTTCATAGTCACAGCTATGGCTTCTGAGAAGAGGAATAAAAAGTTCTTCACAAACTTTACAAAGATGTTTATTTGTTTCACGGAATTTAAGTTGCTCATTTTGTCAGATAAAAAATTAAGAGGTGAAGCATGGCTTACATTTTTAAAATAGACCATCAGTTTTATTCCCCTAACTCCATAAAAACAATGTAAATACAAGCAATTTGTACATCCTGCTGGTGAATTCACATGATGCTCTAGTTCCCTGATCCTTTGATTTCCTCATCCTCCAGTTATTATTTTCCATTTTGACCACTGGCCACAGGAGTGGGGTGGAGTGGAGCTGGGGCTGAGAAGAGGACGCTATGGCTATCTGGTAGGGTAATGTTATTGCTTGCCCTTTCAGTCCGCTCGCATTACTCCAAACATAGAGTTCGAGACTGAAGCCCTTAAGCCTCCAGGCAGCACTGTCAGCTTGTTTTGCATAGGCATGACTAGGGACCTGAGTGGACGGGACACTGGTAGAGGAGGGGGTTAAGAGCCAGCTTGTGAAAGATGAGATGACGTGAGAATGCCTGGTCCTGTCCATGTGAGGAATAACCTAGCACTAGTATCACCCATCTTGCTCAGCTGTGTAGATGTCCTTGGAATTAGATCCCAGAAAGGCAGTTCCAACTTTAAACTGGTAAAACCTTTGGGCAATGGGCTAATTGCTTTAAAAGGAAAAAAGAAATATGGATTCACTTTAAGGATGTTGCAAGCAGAGAAACTGTCTCATAAAGATTTCTTATAAAAGTTAACTGATTGACATGGGTTACTAAGGGCTAACCAGGGAGCTGGCAACAGCCAGATCATAAAACCAAAAAGGCCAGTTTACAGTTCCTTTAGTTTTCTGATTGTCACAAATATAATTATACCAAATAACCAAAAAAAAAAAAAAACCCCAACAAAACTGGGAGCCAGAAAGATAAAGCAACTCCCCAGACCACAGTGGCAGGGCAGAAGTGGTTAGACTGGGACTCCGGGAGGGTGGAGCAAGCGCGCTGCATGAGCCCGGCCTGGAGGGCAGCATTTCAGGATGCTGGATCCCACAGGAAGGAACTTCTCACTGTCTGCTCCTGACTACGAAAAGGACAGAGTCTCAATTTGGGTCTGTGTACTTGAATTTCTATTCTTAACTAAGGTCCCCAACAGAGAAAGTGGGGGGGCTTCAGGTCAGACATCCTTTTCCCGGTAAAAGTGGCAAAGCAGAATGTCATCTCGCCTGCTCCCTCCCTCTCTCCGGCTTGTGCTATTTCACAGTTGCCTCCCACTTACAGCAAGTGCTACTAATGTTCCTTTTTAGAGAGTGACACAAAATCTTTTTTTAAATAATTTTAACTCAATTGGAAAATATAAGTAGCAACACAATGTAAACATTGTGACAGCCATTCT